GTTTTAATTTAACCTTTTGTGAATTCCTACTTTAAAAAAGTTCCTCTTGACTTAGTGGCATCATATTGAGATAATTTATGAGGCAGTCCATTCTTGTGAAGACAGCAAATCCCCATGAATCTTTTCCCCCATGAAAGACTGTCTTGGACCCTTCACCCCTTTTAATTTAGGTTTCTTGCTCTCTTTCTTTACCATTTGCATGGGTCCTTTTGTCACCTTAACATTCTTGTCTAATGGTTTCTGTACAATTAAGGCATTATGGAGGTGAGCGTTAATATGTCTCTGAAAATTTATGAAGACCATATGTCTTGGTGTTTGCAAAAGGATGTGCCAGAAATGGGTTAGGATGCAGGTGCTCTGCTCTTCCAGTTGATATGGGAGTGAAGTTCATGATCTTTCATATTGGTGGTGGGAGTAAGCAGAGACCATTGTCAGGAAAGTGTGACGAGACGTCAGTAGCCAGCTGGTATAAATCAGGAGAGAAACAGAGTTGAAGCTGTGTTAATATCAGGTTTGGCATAAGAGTGGCTAAAAACAGGAAAAAGCACTTGATCTAGTGGTTAGGATGGCTGCTTCCATGGCCACACATGAGTACTTGGGTTCAAGTCCCAACTACGATTCCTTACTCCATCTTCCTGCTAATGTAGCCCCTAGAAGGCAGTGGTTATGATTCAAGTAATTGACCTCTGTTGCCCACATGGGAGACCTGAATTGTGTTCCTTGTTCCCAGCTTGGTTCCAGCCCAGCCCCAATCCTTGTAGCCATTTGAGGAATGAATCAGTAAATAGGAGCATGCACTCTCTCCCTCACTCTCTGCCTCTCTCTCTCTCTCTCTCTGGTACATAGATGAAAAAATTTTCTTTAAAGTATGGTATTTGTAGAGCCTTTGCTGATTTATTAGCCATGTGACTATGTGCTACAGCCTTTGTAATCTTTAGTTTCTTCATTTGTGAAGTAGAGGTACATTAGAACACAACTCCTTACTGAGGTTCACCTGGCTCACCTGCTCTGGCCCCTACCTTGGTCTCAGCTCTGTCTTCAGCTTTTCATTGGGCTCTCACCACACTGGCATCTTTCGTACTCTCCAGTGTTATGGCCACTACCTCCCACCCCAGGGCCTTGGGCCATGCTGTAAAGTGCTTTCCTCCAATTGCTCACAGGGTGGGCTCCCTCTCTTCCTTCAGGAGCCGGGTTGACTTTTACTTCTTCACATAAATCCTGATCCTAGCATAGTTCCACAAAGGCAGACTTGAATAGTTTGCTGGGGAGGCAACCCTACAAATCAAAAATGTAGGACAAGAGAGTCAGACGAGATGATATTAATGAGAGATTTACCTCTGTGGGCATCCCAGCCTTATGTTGTTGGGGAGACTGTATAAACCTTCCTTAGAGTGGTCCCATGAAGAGCCAGGAAGCTAGGGTGGTTTTCTACCTGTTCTCACCCTTTGCAGGTAGACAGTCACTCTGGTGGGTGCTGATGGTTTGACATTTCCAGTCTCTGCTCCCATATACTGAGCATGACGTGGCATACTCCAGAGAATGCCCTGTGAGAGGGAGATGCAGGTGCTGGGGCTAGGAAGCTGTTGGTATGAGGGAAGACTGGCTGTCGTGGCTATAGGTGACACCACAGGTGGGCCAAGGGAACATGGGTGGGATTCTATCTCCTACAGTCCTCCATTTTTCTCTGTTCCTCCACTTATCATAATTGGTAATCATACTTTCCTTGTGTATTTGTTAAATTGATGTATCAAAGGGTCCAAGAGCCCAAGAGTGATGGGATAGCCTCAGTCATTCAACACCAATATGGCAAGGACATCAATCACACAAAGCTTTGCCCACACTACGTGAAATTTCTACAAGTAGAATTGCTATGTCTAAGCTAGGAGATTAGATCATGCCTTTGTTAGTAACGTTTTTGAGATTCTTCATGGACTCAAATAGTACAGGTTCAAAGTTTAGGAATGGTGGCAAATTAAGTCCTGAGGATCTCAAATATTTTGAGTCTCTTGTTAATGAACCCGAAAAAATATTTTTTTTCTTTTCTAAATTGCATAATCAAGATGGTTTTGAAGGTTTTGATGATTTTGCGTGCCTCTGTGTGTGTGTATGTGTGTGTTTGGGTTGCACTAAATTCCCATTCAAAACTTCCCTGAGTGCTTTTCTGTTTGGTTGACAAGTGTTCTGATCAACACTTTCCAAATCTCTAGTTTACTCAAAGCCTTCACCCTCTCCAGCCAGGATGTGTGACTACAAACTCAAAAAAAAAAGGAGAATTTCACATTGACAAATGTAACACCTATGATGGGAATATGCCGGCGAGTGTCTCTCTCCAAGGTTAACTAGAGACAATAATTACTTTCTCCAGAGATCGCCCAAGTGACATGCTGCTGTCTTGATTTCATTGCTGTTTTACGATGTGCATTTCTCGCCACTTATAAATGAAACAAATGAGGTTAGATGGCAAAGATTACGAAGGGAATTAGCAATAATGAGCCTAGTAACAAAAAACATTATTATAGAAAATTGAGTTGACCTTACTTTCATAATTATTCACCTTAATTGTTTTTTGTAGTGTAATTTGAATGAAATTAAATAATACTAGTATTCCCTCTGCCACTGACAGGGGATTTCATGTAAAGATTAATAATTTTCAAAACTAAAGATTTGGCTGTCATTTCAGAGGTCATTGATGCTATTCCAAGAAGCTACTTGCCCCCCACATGACCGTGAACCAACTCTGCCAAGACTGTGATTTACCCTTGGAGCACCTTAGGTCATGTGCCCTGGGGCAACTACTTCTAATCTTCATGGGATTCATTTCTCTCCTGATCCCAGACCCTTGCTCTTCCTAATTTTCCCACCAGAACATTCTCTGTTAGTTATCCATGGTCACATTTATGTGTGAGGGAGCCAGAATTTTTTGATTAACCAGGTGGGCATAATTTGAATCAGAAGTATAAAATCTTCTTAGGGCCCTCCTTGAAGGCATCACACTCATGACGCTGGGATTTAAAGGTGACTGAATAGAGCACTTTTGACTTTTACCTAATTTTGGACAAGAGTGACTTCAAGATGCATGGGTACTTCCTGTGTGTCAGACACGGAGTCAGGTGCTTCACCAGTATTCCCTCAGCTCCTCCTCCTCCTCCTGACCCCTGGTGCCAGTTCTGTTGTCATTCCACTTTGCAGACAAGGGAAGGGAGGCGTCACAGTTAAGTGAGTTGCATAGGTTCAAGCAAGGGGGAGTTAAGTTTTGTGTTCTTATCCCTGCCCCATGAAGCTGAGCTCTTAGTCAATAGGGTGGAACCAAGGAAAGCCCTTCAGCTGGCAATGCTGGTGCTGGCTATCAGGTAACTCAGGCTCCGTCTCTATGTGCTCACTTCATGTCTCTGCGTGTAACAGACTTCTCTCAACCTGAGTTTACACTTGCAAAATTGGAAAAATCACCTAACTTACTGCTGCCTTTGGTACCTTGGATAGAGTAGTGATTCTCTCCCGGCAGTTCATTGTGGTAGTTGCAGCTCAGGGCCACCCTGCAGTACACAGGGCAGCTCTCCACAGAGGGTGAGCTGGACCAGAAGGTCAGTAGTGTGAGGTTAGGTTTTAATCCCTGGACAAAAGGACCAGAGAAACAAGTCTCACACTAAGTAACTAATTAGTCATTTACCTTACTTAGTTGACAGGGAATCAGTTAACTAGCTAATGATATAGACGCTTTGGATTGAATTGACTCACAATTGTTTCCCAATTAATATCTGATCAACTTATGGATAAAAAAAAACTGTGAATTTAATTATTTTATAAATTGGCCTCTTTGTTTAGTGAAATGACAGTGTGTCTACATGTGCTTGCTTGCGTATGTGGATGTGTGTGTGTATACAGGGATATTGCACAGAGAATGAATAACTTTTGCCTTAAACTTTTATATCAGCAGAGCCTTGGACAGTACATGGGTGATCTGCCTTAACCCTCATCACAATACTATTGCCGTGGTCGACCTCATTCACGGATGAGATTCTGTGGATTAGAGACCGGGAATTTGGCCAATGCTGGCAGAGCTCTGGTCGATGAGAGGCCAGAGCTCCACTGGGCCTGTTCTGGCACCAAAGTCCAAGCTGTTAGCTAGGATGTTAGAAGTACCACCCAATCCACAACCCTTTCATTGATTTTTGCTGTATCCATAAGACACATATATTATTATTTTCCTGAATTTTAAAAATTTAAATAAATTTGATCCCCTCTCCCGCCTCCCCGGAATAACCTGAAATCGTGGGTTCTCCATACTGGCATTTGCTATTTTCCTAATAAATGTTGGGGGACTCACTGCTCTAAAACCACACCTGTATCAACGTGAATGTGTGATGATCAAGCACTCCACAAGTGGAAATTGTAATCATGGACTGTTCATCTCGGGAAGGGCCTCTCCGGTAGTTCTGAATGGCAGAATTTGGTAAGATCAGCAACGTCCAGAGTGAGGATGAAGAAGAAGGTGAAAGGGAATGCTTTCCAGGGCCCCTGCGATGGAACACAGTCACCGGAGCGCGGAGGGCAGGTCAACTCCTCTCTGCTGCGCGCTCGTACACGGTATTCAATTTGACAGAGGACCGTGCAGTAGCTTCCAAGTGGGGAAATGGGAATTAGCAACATTCCCTCTCCAATTACTAACTTCACAGAAACGCAAACAGCTCAGCACAGGGACTCATTGTCTGTTCCCAGGCTTTTGGTGAACAAATACATTTGATAGTTGCGACGACACGTGGAGAAATAGGCCCTGATCGTCAATGAACGCTCGAGTTCTTCCATTTTGCTGTCAATAGGTTTAATAATTGATTGTGGGGGAAAACGCAATAGGGTAAGAACAATACCAGGTTATCTCAAGTGTTCTAGAGGAATGATTTGTGTCAAATTAGGTATTTCTTTCTTTTTTTAAGAGCATACACCGTGCCGTTCACAAGGTAAATTGTTACTGATTCAAGCTTTTTTCTTCCCCCTGCATTTAGCTGGGATAGACCCCTGTGGCCAATCTTCTGTGAATAAAATTGCCTGCCTCTCCTAGGAGTGAGTCAGTCTTTCCATCTGCAGACTTCGAGTGGAAGTGCGGCTGGCGTGGGGTCAGGAACATCGGAACCAGAGTCGAAAGAGAAGGAGGTGGATTCTTCTTCCTCCTCGTGATTAACACGCTTTCTCGGTCTTTCCTGGCCAACACTTGTAAGTAATGGCTGCATGGCTAATTGCAGTATTTCCTGCACTTCCCCATACATGTTCAGCTTGTACTGAGGCAACACAAGGAAGTGCTTTGGTGAAGTAGATTCAGAGTAGTCCCATCTTGTGTAATTCTTACTATTTTGATCCCCACCCCCAGTGGCCTCGTGAAGTAGGAAGGATGTTTAACTTGGGGTTCCGCAGTATGAAGCCAAGTGCCAGCTTCGTCATAATGTTAAATGCACTCCACTGAATTCTGTGATTGATGTCTGCCTTTGCGGCTGTCCTGTGGCCTTGCGGGACGTGACCTTACACAGGTGTTTAAAAATAGCAGGTATTCAAAAAAAAAAAAAAAAACTTGACTAAATAAATGAATTCTTCCCTCTCTGAACTCTGTTTCTAGAGCAGTTGTTTTCAGCCGGTAGTGATATTGTCCCCGAGGGGACATCTGGCAAAGTCTGGAGATAATTTGATGATCAGCACCAGGATGGGTATGGGAGTATTATTTGGTGGGCAGAGGCCACGGGTGCTGCTCAACACCCTGCAGTGTGCAGGCCGGCCCCACAGCCTCTGGTTTCACTAGCACCTGAGGGAGGAAGCTCTAGAGACATCTCCGACAAACCCAGGATGGGAGAGGACTTCTCTGGGAAGCTAACAAGGCTCCCTCGCACCAGCTCTTCTAAGACCGTGGGATGTGTCCTAGCAATGTAGTCACACGGTCGTGCACTTTTGTTCCATTTGCAGATGTAGGTGGCTACTGGGAGTTTTTGGATGTGATTTGGGGGAAGACCTGAGACTTCATTTGTGTTTAGTGGAATATTCACATGTGGCTATAGTTCTCTTTGTGTTAGATAAGACACTGCTCATTGTACTGGTGGAGGAATGGCTCCCAGAATATTCCTAAGCCCCACTTTCCCATCTTTCTCAGCAAAATAATACAAAGGTGAAGCCCGGGGGTCCTCAGAGGATATTTGTGTTTTCCAGGTGCTCAATGTGAGTGGGCAGTGAAGGAGACACAAGGTAGTCTGTGTAGAAGTTTTCTAATAATCAAATGTGTGAACTGAAGTGGAGGATTAATTTCTCATGAAGCCAAGGCAAGACAGGATTTCTTTCCTGCCTGAAATGCACTTGATAGTGCAGTGTATACAAATAAAGGCACTGGGCATTTTTTAAAAAAATGATGTCAAACAAAGTTTATCAGAATTGCTGAATTGTAAGGCATGAACCTATAGTTGCATTGTGAAGCCAGATACATCTATCTAATATGAAGTTACAAGTTTCATGGAGCCTATTTATAAAAATATGAAGCCAATTTCAATGAGCAATTAACCATGTAAAAGGAAAGCTTAAATTATATTACTATTTTTTATGGAAAATACTTTAAAAATCAGGTTACCAAATTGTAGACAACCTAAAATATGGAAAAGACATATATTATAGAAACACTTCAGGCAGTTAATTGAAAAGATTAATAAGAGCTGTTATGGGGGCCAGCGTTGTAGTATAGCAGGTTAAACATCCTTGTAGCATTAGCATCACAAACAGGGGCACTGATTCAAGTCCTGGCTGCTCCACTACTGATCTGACTCCCTGCTAATGTGCCTGGGAAAGCAGCTTAAGATGGTCCAAGTGCTTGGACCCCTACACCCACATGGGAGACCTGGCAGAAGCTTCGGGCTCCTGACTTTGGCCTGACACAGTCCTAGCTATTGTGGCCATTTGGGGATTGAACCAGTGAATGTTTCTCTCTGTCTCTTCCTCTTGTCTCTGTAACTCTGCCTTTCAAATAAACAAAAATAATCTCCTTTTAAAGAGGTGTAGGGGTTCAAGCACTTGGACCATCCTATACTGCTTTCCCAGGCCATAGCATAGAGCTGGATTGGAAGAGGAGCAGCCAGGAATCGAATCGGCACTGCAGGTGGAGGCTTACCCTACTATGCCACAGCCCTGGCCTCCCCAAAATAAAACATTTAAAAAAGATAAGAGCTGTTATGTTTTCTGGACCTTGTGATGCCAGTGGTATTTTCAGTTTTTAGAATTTATGATTTGTTGTGATTTAAAAAAATTCCTTCTAAATAAATATACACTTCTGTACCTTATTTTATATTCTTATGTTTGTTTCTAATTAGGGTTTCCAAATTGTGTAAGCTCCAGAATCTTCCTCTACTTACAGTTTCACGAACCCCTAACCCCGAACAGCTCACATCTTTATGTCCCTAGACTAGACCTTTCCTGTGAGCTCCTTGGAGTGATAAACTCTCATTAAGTCACCTTGACATCAGCTCTGGGAAACCCGGAGACGTCTTCACACTCAGCATGGCCAAGGTCAACCTCACATACAGCTCCCCTGCCCATGTCCCAACCTGGTGTTCATTCAGTGTTCTCCCTCAATGACTGACACACCTAGGACTCTTCCTTCATGCCTGCCTCTTCCCGCCCTGCACCTAATTCATGGTGTCCTGGGACTGTGATCTTTTAGATGTGTCCTACGTTCACTTATTCTTCCAGTCTCTCACCCCCACCACTTCTTGGGTCCAAGCCACCATTGTTGTCCTCTTAGACTCAGAATCTCCAGCTGGTCACCAGTTGCACTGTTGGCTCCCTTCCAAATCACTCTCCAAGGAGTCATCTTGGCAAAACACAAATCTGATCATGCCAGATCCCCTGTGCAAAATCTTCCATGTCTCCCCGGCACTCTTAAAAATTATTAAGCAATCAAACCAAGGTCTTTAAAATGATCCACATAGCATAGGATGATCTGGCTTCCCCTCTTCTCTCTAGCTTCCTCTTGCATTGCCCCTGGCATTCTTCCTCCTTCTCTCTGGTGTTTTCTTGCTCTAAGGTCTTTGCATGTGTTCTAGCTTTGTCACTTCTACCTGTTGTACCCTCTTCATTCTTCAGATCCGTACACAAACGTCACTCTCTATGGGAATCTTTTCTTAGCTTCCTGCTTGGTTCATATCCACAGGATCTCATTAGAGAGGGTGCATTCAGAGCAACTGTAGCTGCAATTGTATATTTGGATTTGACACTTTTTTAAAGGAAAAGCCATTTCCCCACTAGATGGTAGGTTTATGGGGGCGGAGCCATGTGTGAGTTCTCTCATCACTGCATCCTTTGCATTTGCACAGAGTGGGTAGGCTATACACTCTGCTGAATGAATGAATAAATGAATTGTAGGATGAACGTAGGCAGTCACAGGAGATAATTCCCAGGAACGTTACCATGAAGACATCGCACCCCATAATTTTAATGGATTGGATCAAAGGGATTCCTCCTGTGAAGGTCAGTCCCAAAGAGGAGGCTCTTAGATCAGACCAGGCCGCAGTATGGCCGTGGCATAGAGGCTGGATTTTTTTTTTTTCTGGGAAGAGCAAGAGGTTTAAAAAAATGTTTTTAAAAATATTATTTGTTCTTTCAATACTTTTCTAGAATCCTCGTTTTGTCCTTTGTTTACTCCCCTCCATTGTTTCTCTTGCCCAGAATGCCACACGGCCTTTATCCGTAGATTGACAGATAGACTTGAGGATGCCTGCTGTTTAAAAAAGAGACCCTTGCCATTGAAGCACCTAGAAGACCACAGCAAAGGTGAAAGGAAAATGAAACGACATGAAAGCCTCTGGACTCAGAAAGTGTGGAGGGCTGGACGGCAGCTACTGTGGTCTGAACCGTGCTTCTGGAAGGTTAATATGTTGAGGTGCTTCCCTCTCCTGTAGCTGTTTGGAGTTAGGGCCTGTGAGACATGATAAAGGTCAAGTGAGGTCATGAGGGTGGGCCCTAGACGGATAGGGTTTATGCCTTGATAAGAAGAGACCCTAGAGTTCTCTTTTTTCTACTGTGTGAGGACAGCGCAAGAAGATGGCCATCAGCAAAGTAGGAAGAGAGTCCACCCAGAGGCTGACTCTTGCTGGGACCTTAATCTTTGATTTTCCAGCCTCCAGAAAATGCATATCTATTGCTTAAGCAGCACAATCTGTGGTATTTTATGGAAACCTGAGCAGGCTGGGATGGTTGCCCCAAAGATACTGGATCCTAACACTTGGAATCTGTAAACCTTATCTTATTTGAGGGAGGGGGAGGAGTGATGAAATTAAGGATGTTGAGATAAGGATGTGGTCTGGGATTACTCAGGCAGGCCCTAAATGCCATCACAAGTATCCTTTTAAGAGACAAATCGGGGACCGGTGCTGTGCCGCAGCGGGTTAAAGCCCTGGCCTGAAGTGCCGGCATCCTATATGGGCGCTGGTTCTAGTCCCAGCTGCTCCTCTTCTGATCCAGCTCTCTGCTATGGCCTGGGAAAGCAGTAGAAGATGGCCCAAGTCCTTGGGCCCCTGCACCTATGTGGGAGACCTGGAAGGGGCTCCTGACTCTTGGCTTTGGATCAGCGCAGCTCCAACCATTGCAGCCATCTGGGGAGTAAACCAGCAGATGGAAGACCTCTCTCTCTGTCTCTACCTCTCTCTGTAACTCTGTCTTTCAAGTAAATAAAATAAATCTTTTTTTTTTTTTTTAAAAAGAGAGATGGAGGGAATTACACACACACACACACACACACACACACACAATGCTAAGATAGAGGCCGAGACTGCAGTTATGCGGTTACGAACCATAAGATTGCCAGCAGCCACCAGAAGCCACAGGATCACCTAGGGCCTCTGGAAGGATTTGGTCTTTTGTTCCAGGCTTTTGGTCCTAGAACTGTGAGAAAATGAATATACGTAGTCATCACATTTGTGGCAAGTTGCTGTAGCAGTTGGAGGAAATGGATACAGAAACAATGTTTTTCATTGCATGCATTTCTCTGTGACTTTTCACCTTTATGGTGGTAAGAACTTACTGGTCTACATCAGGGTTGGCCTTTAAGGAGAGAAGGCAAGGGAGAGCCTGTGGGCTTATTTCTCTGTGGAATTTTGGGCCCAAAATCTTGGCTGGTAATAAAGAGCAAATTTGCTTAGAAGATTAGGAGGTTGGTAAACACTACTTGGAACCTAATAAACCTTAGGGAGATGGGTTCAAAGCTTCAGTTCTTCCCATGATAATAAAATCTCTTATCTAGAGTTAGTGAGCTAGTGAACAACTCCAAATCTTACTATTAGAGGTGACAAATTACATTAAGTGTTCAGGTCTCACTAAAGGGTTGATATTTGGGTAGAGGATGCAATAAGATATCATATATAGGGTGCCGGATTCTGTCCCGGTTGCCCTTCTTCCAGGCCAGCTCTTTGCTGTGGCCAGGGAGTGCAGTGGAGGATGGCCCAAGTACTTGGGCCCTGCACCCCATGGGAGACCAGGAGAAGCACCTGGCTCCTGCCATTGGATCAGCGCGGTGCGCCGGCCGCGGCTGCCATTGGAGGGTGAACCAACGGCAAAAGGAAGACCTTTCTCTCTGTCTCTCTCTCTCTCTCTCACTGTCCACTCTGCCTGTCAAAAAATAAATAAATAAAAAAAGAAAAAAAAAGATATCATATATAAACTTATAGGACGTGAGCTTTTGGCAGAAGAAACTGTAGCCACAAAGGCCCTCGGTTGGAAATTACTTGGCATATCCCAAAATGTCCCAAAAAGCTATATAATTTGGTGCATATACATTTATGATTATTGCATGTTTTAGAAAATGTTTTTAATCATTACCTCTTTATTATATGATTCTTTTGACCTTAAATCTGGCATGTTGTTAGCATTGACTTTCTCACTTGAAATATCTTATCCATAGCTTTATTTCCAACTTTAATAGTAGATATCTAGGATAAATCATGCTGCATCTCTTCTATTTGAGAAGGCAGGAGAATGTGAATTGGATTTAGAAAGACTTCCATCAAAATTTTTAATATAAGAATATCCTAGTGCTGAGGAGACACTTCCATTATGTGAACATAATTTACATATACAAAATAACTCATTTCCTGATGAATTTAAGTAACTAAGGTATTACTGTATACGCCATTCAGTATCTTGAAATTTTAGCAACTCTCAATAAATTTTTAAACTAAAGGTCACAGCTTTGTTAAGCCACAAAGATTGCATCCAAAATTTATAGAATGTAAGCAAAAATTATTAATTTATTCAAATAATAACAATGGTTGGTTTTTATTTATACTTGCAGTCACACCATCAGTATGGCCTGTGTTCAGAGTTGCTCCAAGAATGGTTGGAAGAAATGTGATTTAGCAAGATTTCTCAACTGCGCTTATGACCAATATCACGCTCTTGGGAGGGGACCAGCTGTAGTCCAGGCCATAGCCTGTGATTCTGGGGAGGAAGCATCAAGTTTCAGCCCACAGGGAATTGAGTCCCCGACCTTGGCCTCATTAGCACCGTGTTCTAGCCAACTGTGCTAATTGGTCACACATGGCAAAAGATTTAGCGATAGGAAACGATGTGAGAGTACAGGATTCTTGTATTGAACTGTTTTGATCTGATGGAGAAAACCTTTTACTTGGGGGTCAGCTCGAGTTTTGTTTTGGATGGCTGAGTTACTTTTAGTTTGTGTGCATTTGAGCAACGAAGATAATGATGCTGATCTCAGAAGATTAAAAAAAAATAAGTGTAAGGAAAATAACTTCCATGGGAGTGTGTGTCATGGAGTGCAGCATGCAGTAGTTGTTCAGTAAGTAGTCTTCCATGGATCGGTTTAAATCACTATAGGGTGGGCTGATGATACCAAACACCATAGCGCTTTGCCCCTACTTGGAATTTTTCCCTATATTTCTTCATTCCCTCTTATCTTTGGTGACACAGCTAACATGCTGAAGGCACCATACAAGTACAAAGTGACATAATGATGTGATAAAAGTAAATCCTAGTTGGGTAGAGCCCTGTGAGTCCAAAGTGTTAAATCTGCTTAGCACTGCCTGAGTGCATCGTTGCAAGGTGGATTTGGCACCCCAGTCCTCCCTTATGGTGGACACCTCAAGAAAGAACAGACAGCACAGAGGCCAAGGGAGTGTCTTTGAGACTGACCTCTGGGCTTTTAAGTCCTTACTTAGTAGCTGTGCAACCTTGAGACTAACATTTAACTTCTTAAACCCTTGGTTTCCACATGTGTGAAGTGGGGATCATAATTATTCTTCCCTCTGCAGATAATTGTGAGACAAAAGCAGAGAACACAGGTGAATGATTTAGCTCAACATACAGGTGGGGCTCAGGAGTGCTCAGTACACTCCTGTCACCACCCTTGGCACTTAAGTGAAAAGTTCCTGCCACCACCACCTTTTTTTTCCTCTAGGGAGACTACTCAGAATGTAAACTTTTCTACAGGACGTGGGCTCCACACACACAGGTGGATTTTTTTGTAGGAATGGTGTGCTGTGTTCATCTCTTGAAAGGTTAATCGTTGGGGTCTGAGCCCAGAATCAGCCTTGGTCTTATTCCAAGGGTTTCCTGGATCTCTTTCTTATCCTTGGCTCGACCCCTTCATGTCACATCAATTTTTCTCACGTGGCTCAAGGGTGGTGCCCTCTCATGGACTCCGCGGAATCTGTACCTCATTTCCTCTCGGTTCCTGGGGCTGCTGACTCCTTCCAGGGGTTGTACATGTTGTGTCTTCTCTAGGCTATGCCATTTTTTTCCCTGGAAGATTTTCCAGTTCATCCCTCCCACTGCCAACACCTCTGCTCCCTTCTGTGTCTTGCATGGACCTTGTGATCACCTTTTTCTCCCGTACAAATGTTGAGCCTGCAGTTCCCCATCTTCAACCACTGCGCTGCTTCCTCTTCCTCATCCTGAGGCCTTTCTTCTCTTGGGGTGCAGATTTCTTAGCCTCAGTGCGATTTCATCATCAATGGTAACATTTTAAATATTATGATAATTCTTTCCACTGCCTTTCTCTTTCTCACACACATACACACAATCAAGACATCCATGCCATCAGTAGAGAGCAGTGGCCCTTAGTGAGAGGTTAATTTTTCCTGCTAAATGACATTTTCAAGTTTCTGGAGGTATTTTTTGTCACAAACTTGGGGCTGCTTCTGGCATCTGGGAAGCAGAGCTCAGGGATGCTGAGAATGCTCTACAATGCCAGGAGAGCCTCACCCCCACCCCCACCCCCATCCCCACCCCCAGCCCAGCCCAGCCCGACAAAAACTATGGGGCCTCAGATGTCAACAGTGCTGAAGTTGAGAAACTATGATAGGCTAATAAAGTCTTTATCTTCAAAAAGTAAAAATCAAAAGACAAAGCAGGCATAGGGCACTTAACAGTAAATAATAGCCGACGCTTACTGGTCACTGGTTACATGGCAGGCCTTGTGCCATCAGCTTTCCTTCTCTGGTCTCATTGGATCCTTGTACTTCCCCTGCGAGAGAGCAACTATTGTGAGCCTCACTGCAGCTGATAAAACTCAGGCCTCAGTTGTGTGAGTAATTTAACCAAGGTCACCTAACTGATTGAGAACAAGCTGACACAAGCCCGCGCATCCCATGGGAAGGGCTTCTTGACTTGGATCCACTGTGGTGAGCACTGATTGACTTGGATCCACTGTGGTGAGCACTGATGCATTTAGCACCAGGTGTGCCATGCACTGAAGAGCATGGATGCCTAGACTGGGGTGACTCAGTCTGATGTTCAGGTCAGTGAACCCTCTGAAATATGTGCAGTGTTTTCATGAATATAATTTTCTAGGCAAGCGGATATGGCTCAGAGGACCATAGTCTCTCAAAGAGATCAAAGAGATTTGCGACTGGTAGTACACAGAAAAACCATAAGCACCTTGTTCTTGACTTTCAAGGAAAGGAGGGACACGGATGAAGGCTGTGCTCCTGGAAAGATGGGATTCCTCACTAAGGGAGACACAGCTCTGGTTCAGCCTAGGAACCATCATTGGTTGAGCTTGAACTTCCAGGGACTATTAAATAATGGTCACAAAGCAAACTGAATAAAGCCTAAGGAGTGGGGTGATCTCAGTTGATTTTGCTAATATTGAAAATGTGATGGCTTGAGGTGCTGTTCTCAGAGTATTGACATACTCATGGCACACGCCAGTGTTTGCTTGGCTTCACTGATGTTGTCCTCTGGTTCTCATTGTCCACGAATTCATGGCTCACCGCATCCCCTAAGTATTTACATATTTGCTTATCTG